AGCTCTCAGTAAGTCATAAGCTTTTCGCCGGGGGCGGGGGGGGGCAGGTGCGGAGGGTCTGGCCTCAGCGGTGAGGGCTGCTGACTGATCAGGGTAACGGTTGCTGAAGGTTGAGGTAGTTGTCGCAGTTTCTTAAATGAGACAACAGTGAAGTTTGGTGCAGTGATTGACTCTTCTTTTTGTGAACCATTTCTCTGGAGCAAGGATGCTGTTTGGCATTTTACCCACAGTGGAACTTAATTAAAAATTGGAGTCAGTCCTCTCAAACCCTGCCCCTGCTTTATCAGCTAAATTTATGCAGTATTCTAAATCCTTTGTTGATCTTCACAGCATCTTCACCAGGAGTAGCTTCCATTTCAAGAAACCACTTTTTTTGCTCATCTGTAAGAAGCAACTCCCCATCTCTTAGTTTTTTTATCACGAGATTGCAGCAATTAAGTACATTTTCAGGCTCCACTTCTAGTTCTACTTCTCTTACTGTTTCCACCATATCTGCAGTTACTTCCTCCACTGAAGTCTTGTGCCTTCACCTTGTAAAAAAAAAAATGTAGTATCTGTGAAGTGCAATAAAGCAAATCAATAAAAGGAGGTATGTCTATAGAAACAATGCCTTTTCAAAAGGTGTAAGGATAAACGCTAGGATCGAGAACAGAGTCCCAAACTGGTAATGTTTTATACTCTTTATTCTGCTTGTGGAAGTGTACATCTGTACAATGCTTTTAAAAAGCAGTTTGTCACTTACCTTTCACCCAGGTTTGAAAAATTCTGTTAAGGGAATAATCTTAAAAAGGGAAAAAGCTACATGCATTAAGATGGATAATGAAGTTATCTCCAATAGCCAAGAATTAGATACAGCCTGTACATGCTATGAATTCTAGAGGAAAGCCAAATAATGTTTGGTGTACCTTTTTCTTGGAAAGTTATGTAGCTGTTAAAAATATTAATGGTAAATACTAAATATATTACAATAAAAAATGTTCATGATATGGGGCGCCTGGGTGGCTCAGTCATTGAGTGTCTGCCTTCGGCTCAGGTCATGATCCCAGGGTCCTGGGATCGAGCCCCGCATCGGGCTCTCTGCTTAGCAGGAAGCCTGCTTCTCCCTCTCCCACTCCCCCTGCTCGTGTTCCCTCTCTTGCTGTCTCTGTCAAATAAATAAATAAAATCTTTTAAAAAAATGTTCATAATAGAACACTAAAAAAAAACCAATATGTATTTGTGCATACATCTTCACTGTCTGAAATTTATATACACATGGACAAGACTGTGAGAGAGTGGAAAATAAAGATACTATGACTTGATTCCCACTGGAGTTGCAGGCTTATTTGTGCAGTAAATGAGCACCATTATTTATGCAGTAAATGAACACCACGTTAAGAATTCATGGAGCCCATGAAATTCTCAGAGTGTGGAGAGCTGTGCTGTCTTTCAGGCATTCACAGGTGCCTCCCTGCCCTCAGTCTTCAGCCACCCTTGGAGTCCCTGGAAAAGCCTCCCTCATTATCAGGGTCCTATTGGGCTCACTCCTTTTGGCTAACTCCATTGTTCTATGCCCTCCCTCCCTTCTGTACTTAATTCTGTTAGCCTCCAGAGAGGTTTTGCTTTGTTAAGGGCTTTCACATGCTCACATTCTCCCCACCCAACTAGGATTGCAGACTCCACATTGTCCATATCCTTACAGCCTCAGCCTCATCTAGGCAGCCTGGAAATTGTCCTGAGTCCATTTTTCAGCTTTTACATTTTTCTTGAGTTTTCCCTTGAGTTCATTAACACACTTCCTGGATCAACAGCCTCAGCCCCCACTTGCTGTTCACACCTGTCTCCGCCTAACCCAGGGAAGACCCTGGGGGACCCGAGCGGTGTGCAACAAGAAACCAGCAGCATGGACAAATTACTGGGGGGACACGTTAGGCTAATTTTGCTCTTACATCTGTAGGTGATTACTGTGTTTGATCTTGGAAATGCTTCACCTCTTGACAGTGATTTTTCTTGCTGTCCAGGAGATTGCTTTTGTGCCCTAACCCCCAACTAAGGGGAAGGGGTAAAGGATTGAGCCATTTCTGGGAAGGTAATTGGAGATTATTGGATTTAGCTGACAGCAGAGGCTTCCTCCATTTGTGCTGGATGTTATGCTGCCCAGAGTTTGGGCTGTAGGTTCTCTTCAGGGTCGTACTAAATGCCCCTGGTCCAGGGAAGACTTTTGTAGATGCTAACAACTCCTTTCTGGAGGCCCTACCCTTACATCTTATTAAACATATTTAAATGCCCCAACATTCCACATTAAAAAATTGTTTTTGCTGTAAATTATTTTAAAAGGCTTTTTAATTGGTGCTTTCATAATTATTTGGTTATGATAAACTCCCCTAATTTATGATTGACTCTGGTTTGTAAGAACTCTGTGTATACTTGGGAATTTGAAGAGGTGAAAAAATTTAACCTACAAATTGTTTACAAATGTAATGAATATTTTATGACTATTACATTTAACAATCAATGAAGTATGAATATGTCAATTAAATATTTATTCACTTCAATTTCACGGTTTTCTTTGGGTATCTTGGAATCAATAATTTTTTTGGTAAAGGTTTTAAACATTTCTGTGGCTCTTAAAAAGTCTGTAGGCCCTAACTCAGTGTTGATGGTGCCCCCGGGGTAAGATGCTAGACTCTCACAGCTCTTCCCACTACCTCCTGGCTTTGGGTTCTATGCAAACTTGCTTCTGATTCAGATCTTCTCATTGGAGGGGGCACTTCTTATCATTCTGATCTCAGCCCCAATGTTACCCTATCCTAGAGGATTTTCTTGATCACTCACTGGAAAGTAGCCATCCAGTCCTGCTGTTTTACTTTGTGTTGTTGCACTTAGTACGAGCTGTTATTATTCTCATAACGTCTAGATCTAGTAAATAGATTTATTCTCAGTCTACTGATTGATTGATCTGTCTGCCAGTCTCTAGGTCTACTGATTGTCCACCTCTGCTGGAATGTACTAGTGGAGATCTTATTTACCATCCTGTTTCCCCACTATCTAACATAGTGCCTGGCACATGATAAGTGCTCAAGTTTTTGTGTTTATTTTTGGTGTGTGGTGTGTGAAATGAATAATATGATAGTTATGACTACTGTACATATTTACTAGCTCATTTATTCTCCCAATATTACTATGGCTTGAGAAAAAGAGGTATGATGATGTGGTAAACAGAATAATGCTCCACCCCAAGGGGGTCCCCTTCCTAATCCTTGGAACATGTGAAGATGTCATGTTACAAGGCAAAGTGGAATTTAGGTTGTGCATGGAATTAAGGTTGCTAATCATCTGACCTTAAAATGAGATTATCCTCAATTATCCAGGCGGGCCCAGTGTACTCACAAAGGTGTTTTAAAGCAGAAGAGGAAGGCAGGTGAGGAGGTCAGAGCGATGCAGGGTGAGAAGGACTTAGCTGGCTTAGAAGTTGGAGGGAGGGGCCATGAGTGTGGGCAGCTTCCACAAACTGGAAAAAAAGAAGTGGATTTTCCTGAGGGCCTCCAGAAAGGCCTTAATTTTAGCCCAGTGAGACCCATTTCACACTTCGGACTTCCAGAATTGTAACATAATACATTTGTATTGTTTAAGCCACTGAGTTTGTGGCAATTTGTTATTAGCAGCAATAAAAACTAATACAGGTAGTTATGTCCTTTTTTACAGATGAAGACAAAGAGGCCTGTACTTGAGAGGTCACTTATTCAGGGCCATAGACACATTTAGTAGCAGCTCAAGCTAGAGTCCAGGTGGTCAGTGTGTGTACTGTTCTTAGGAGCATCTTATCTGTTGCTTCATAAGAAACTACCGGAAGTGCAGTGGCTTGAGCCGACAGTACGCTATTATCTACCGCTCACGGCTTGGGGGCTTGGGCTGCGCAGAGAGATTCTTACTTTGGGTGTGTTATGTAGTCACAGTCAGGTGTCAGCCAGGACTTTGGGCATTTGACTTAAGTGAGCTGGACGTCGCCGGTGGCTCGCTCCCGTGCCCCGCAGTTGGTGGCAGCTGTCAGCTGGGAGCTCAGCTCGGGCTGTGGAACAGCACTGACGTGTGGTCTCTCTTCTCCCAGACTGGCAGCTGGTTTTTAATAGGCAGGAAGCAGAAGCTGCCCGGCCGGTTAGCGGCTACACCTGCCACTGACACACTGTCCCTTCTGCCGTACTCTGTTGATTGGTCCGAGCACTCACAGGGTCCACCCAGATGCAAGGGTAGACCTCGTGTTGGGGGAGTGGAAGGCTCACATTGCAGACAGGCACATGAGATGGCAGTTACTTATGCAGCCATTTTTGGGAAAATGTTACATCCTATAGAACCTTGTTTGGTGGACCTAGAAACACCTCATAGCAATCTTACAATTAATCAATCAGCAACTATCCAGTGACCTTACATTATTGCAAGGCACCACGCTAAAACCTTTTGGAGGTTGGCAGGATAATCAAGAGCAATTTTGCCATCTAGTGTGGACACGAAGTGAAGAGACTTGAGCACACAGAACAGGGAAGGAGAGGCACTGAAGCTGGGTAAGGGGCCATCAGGGAACACTGCACAAAGATAGCAGTCATGCTAAGCTTTGAAACCAGACCTGGCAGAAGGGAGAGCTGCAGGTAAGCCGGCCAAGGGGCAGGGGGTTGTTGAGGCATTTCCTGGGACCAATACCAAGTCAGCCGTTTTGGTTCAAGGGGGGGTTTTGCAGGGTGTATGGAGAGAAGACTTGGCCCTTGTCCACTTTGTACTTCTTAGAGAAGGGAAACAGGGATTTAGCTCATATTTGCCTGAGGCATGTGTTACCTGGGACTCTCCTATGGGAAACACTTAGGGGAAATAAAAAAGAGGCCCTCAAAATAATCAAAAGCACATTGGATTTTATTTCTTAAATTGTTGTTCTATTTCATTGTATTAATTAATTACCACGTGATGAATACCAGAAAGCATGCTGGATTGTAATGGGGGTCCTCCTTGCCCTTTCCACCTGTGTCTTGCAGCTCAACATCAGTGCTTTGCAGATGGCAACCCAGAATGGCCATACATCCCTTGTCAGCTCTCTTCTCCGTGACAATGTTGATCTGCACCAGAACGCAGAAGTGAGTCTATTCTAGTAACATGGACTTTGATCCTGGTGCCGCGAGGCTGGCTGTGTGGGGAGATGCTCCTTGCAGATACTTTGGGGGGATGAGATGTTCACAAAGGAGGAACTCTTTCTGGGAAAGCTGACTGACTTCTTTTGGAGACTGAGTCTTAATTTTGAGAAATAAAATCCAAGGGATGAATTTTAGAAAGTCATTGAAGTTCCGGAACAAAATGAATTCTTTGTGTTTTAAATATTGATATTTGCTGCAATAAAACTTTCTCAGGTGTCTAGAGACGCTTTTATTCTTGTATTAAATCTATCAGTCTGGGAAAAAAAGGACACTGCTATAAATGGAAAGGAGAATGACCATGTTCCCCCTCTTTACCGAGTGATCTTATTTTTTTTTTTTTGAAAGTCAATTCTTTTTACTGATTTAGGTTTTCTGAAGTTTGAGTTGGCTTTGGTAGCATTAACAAAGGACCTCTGTGCTGAAATTAGATGGAAAACATTCCTCTATTTTTTACCCTATTTTCATTTCTCCTGTGAGAATGTTATTTCCTCTGATCTTGCTTAGCCATTACTATTTATTATATGAACTGGAGAGAAGGGATGTGATTTGATCACATCTGGTAGTTTTTGGAGAACAACGTTAGGGAATTCGCTCTGAACTCACCTGGTCTATCCAAGGATGCTTCCTGTTTCTTGGGCGGGGGGGGGGGGGGGGCAGTTGGGTCCCAGCAAGGCCGGTGGCTCCGGCAGGAAGAACATTGCCCACTTCCCTGGGCCAACGGATGCTTTCTCTTTTTTCATGCTTGGTGCCTCAAGAGAGAACATTCTTCCTTAGTAGAAGAGGCCTGCACAGAAAGCCTTCCTCCCACCCTGCCCCAACCAGTCCCAGCATGTCCATTTCCTTGTTCATGCCTGTGGCAGCCTGACCTATGCAGCTGTGGAGTCCTACCACCCCCTCTTCTCCTCTTCCTCTGTGTCCTGGTGTGGCTCTTGCACACTCAGTACGTCTCTCTTCCATAGGTTTCTTTCCCGGTAGGTTTCCTGGGAAGGAGCCTGGTGCCAGTGTTAGAGTCAGGTTGTCGGATAGGGGTTCGAATCCTGTCTCTGCCACTTTCTGGCTCCAAGGGCCTTGTGGAAGTTATGGAACGGCCCTTTGCCTCGTATATAAAGTGGGGAATAGAAGATCTAACTGCTAAGGTTATTGTGAATGAAAACTATTAGCCCAGAGTTTAAAACAGAGTGTAAACTGTTGGGGAAGTGAGTATGCATTAACTAGAATTATAAAAATATGTTCCATGTGCCTACCTGGTGCTTATTATTGATATCTCTTTCCCCTGAGCAACCCTGCCCTCTGTCCCCATCACCTGCCCTCGCACATACCTGCCTTGGCTCTCAGCTCGCCTTCTGTGCATGGCCTCCCTGGATCTTCTGAGCGCCCTGCTCTTTCACACGTGCACCCCCCCCTTGCCACCCACTGCCTTCCCTCCACCCTGACTGCCCCTCAGCTCACTCTCACACCTAACCTCTTTCTCCCCACCTTTTTTTCTTTTCGGCTGCCTTCAGTACCCCTGGAGACCTTTCTCTAGGGCCTCCATGTGCCAGCGGCCACTGGGTGGTGGTGAAGCAGCAGGAGCTAAGTGTGGGGTCGTAGAGGTGGTCATGACCACCTGGTGGGGCTGGGAAAGAAGCCTGCCTGTGGGGATGGCTGAGAGGGGCTGGGACATTCCAGGTGAGTGAGGGTGAGGCTGTAGGACAAGCAGTTTAACCGCAAATGAGGAGGAAAGGGGAGCAGGCTGGAGGGGTTTGGTGAACATCCTGCGGCTGTATACTCTATCTACATGGGAGGGCTACACATGAGAATGGTGTCCCTGGGTGAGTGGGGCATTAGTCCCACAGAGTGCTATGGGGAGAAAGAGCTCTAAATCACATCAGTTCAGGAAATGCTGAATGTGCATGCCTTTTCCGCCTTGTAGCTATTCCCACCATAAATTATGTCTTAGAAGGCACTGAGAAGTCCTGCAGTTAAGCCTATTTCATATTTCTTATCATTCTTATCTAAGTGAAAGTGTCAGTTCTTCAGGAAGGCTTTTTTTTTCATCTTCAGAAAGGTTAGCCGTCTGCCCATCCCACATATGCTCTCCTGCCACTCTCCTTTTCCTCCAAAACACTTTTCACAATTTGTATATTTTGTGATTTTTTTTTAAATTAATATTTTCTTACCCCACTGGATTGAAAGATTCCTGAGAATGGGCCATGTTTACCACTGAATCCTTAACCTCCTGAAAAGAGCCTGGCCCATAGTAGGTGTTCAGCATATAGTTCTAGAACAAATGAAGGGGGAGAGCACAACCTTGGGATGGAAATGATGCTGAACACTTGCTACTACTGACCTGCTGCTGTGCTGGGCAGTTCCAGTACTAGGAGATTATCAGGACATCTCTGTCAAAATGAATTGCTTTTTGGTCTGAATGATGAAGCCAGAATCTTTTGGATTTGAAATTTTCTTTCTCTTTCTTTCTGCAGCCAAAGGACTCCCCTCTTCATTTAGCTGTTATCAACAACCATATCTCAGTTGTGAACAGCTTATTAAGTGCACAGCACAACACTGACATCTTAAATCAGGTAAGCCAGGTATATCAGAACCCGGAGAGTCTGTTTTCTTATGATTCAACGCATTGTGTGGTTAGGGGTAGTTTTGAGCAAGTTCAAGGTACCCTAAAAATTTCCAGGTGGAATATACATATTTTCTTTATCCCTTTTCTTCTGTGACCCCCACTCTCACTTGCACACGCATACTTTTTCAAACACACAACTGGGGTTCAGCTAGTGCATTCTTAAACCTGTTTGCACTTAACAGTCCCAGCACCTCTGATAGATAAACAGTAGCTCAGAGGTAAATCGCCAAAGGCTCTTTAAATCAAAAGCCACTCCCTCAGTATGAAATATAATTGGCTGGTGGTAGCCCTTTGCCACAAGGAGGAAGCTTTGTTTCTATATTAGAGACTGTAAATGTGTCTTCCTTTTACCCAAAGGCAAAAGAGACCTCTCTGAATAATAATGATAATAAAAATCACCATTCAATCCAGTGGAGCAGAATCAAATGCCCCGTAAAAGGAATCCATCACTGGCTGGAAATGCAAATGCTGAGGTGGAAGATTAAGAGGATGGGAGTGGGCACTGTGTGAATCAGGGTCAACTCTGGGGCTGAGCTGCCTCTCCCAAGAGCTGTAGGGAGTAGGAAGAGAAACCCCTGGGGTGTGGAGCCCTTCTGGAACCCTGGCGACAGATGAGAACTCTGGACACCTCTTGCCTTTCTGCCTCTCCCTACAGAAGCCTCAGCCTGCGCCCCGAGGGGAGGGAACGGCCAGATCCAGTGTGCATGCCTGTCCTAACCCGCTGGGTGGCCCTCAGCTTCCGAATCTGGGGAACCCAGAGCACTGCCTCAGGTCTCTCCAGTCTCTTCCATCTCCAACCTAGGAGTTCCTTTGTGTGGGAGCAGAATGGACACTTATCTACACTTCCGTCCCTTCCTTCCCCCACGGACCTTCCTCCCTGTGTTCCACTATCCCAAATGTTTGGGGGAGGCAGGGGAGGACCTTTTTGTTATTATATATACTTACGTGTCCGAGTCTGTTAGTGCCCCAAATATTTCCAAATGAGGAGAATCTTTGTTCCATACACAGAACTCACATAGGATTTTGGTTTCACCAGAATTGGCTAGATTCACTCCAGAGAAGGAGGGTTTATTAGTCTGCGCCACCCCCCCGTTACCGAATTAGACTTTATCATTTCAATTTTCTGTTATATTGGGAATACACTCAATGTATAACAATAAGAAAACGTAAATAAGGTAAAAACTTATATTTGTTTGTAATTCCCCCCCAAAGAAAGATAACTCTTGTTAATATTTTGGTTCATTTCCTGCCTTTTAGACTTAGAGCAGTATCGTCGCAATGAAATGTTATTGGTATTTGATGTATGACACTTGTATCTCTGTTCCATGTTGATATAGACCTTTGATAGTTTGTCATTTAAGTGTGATGTTGTCGATGAGCCCCCAGAGGGGCACATTGCCACCCAAAAGTGAGTCTTTAATAAATGCTTTCTGATATTAATTATGCTAATGCCCCAAGCAGGTTGGCCCTGTGCTCTGGTTGGAAGAATACTGATGCTATTGCCCAGCTGTGTGACTCTGGGGAAGTTGCTTCCTCTCTCTGGTTCAAGGGTTGGCCTAGACCATAAAAAGCGTTCCTTTCAGTACTAATATCTTAGAAATATCTGCACATTAGCATATCCTTTCAGTGAAAGGTTAAAGTGGGTGACTTTCTTGTGATTTTGTATACTTCTTTAAAACACTGTTATCCTCTTGGTAAGAAAATGATTAACCCAGAAAGAAATTTCACCATTTTTAAATGTACAGTTCGTTGGCATTAACTACATTCACATTGTTGAGCAACTATGGCCACCATCCATCTCCAGAACTTTTCCATCTTCCCAAACTGAAACTCTGTACTCATTAAACACTAACTCCCCATTCTCCCTCCCCACAGTTCCTGGTAACCACAACTCTACTTTCTGTCTCTATGAACTTTACTATTCTAGTATCTCATATTGAAATCTTTTAAAAATCATTTTTAATTGTTGCTTACTAATCCAGCATTTGGATATATCATAATTTATCAAATGAGTCTCCTAGTGAAACATGCAACTTCCTTTCAGTTTTTCACTGTTAAAAATAACACTGCAGTGAATGTCCCCTGTACCTATGTAACAGTATGATCTTGGGGCGCCTGGGTGGCTCAGTCGTTAAGCGTCTGCCTTCGGCTCAGGTTATGATCTCAGAGTCCTAGGATCGAGCCCTGGGTTTGGCTCCCTGCTCAGTGGGGAGCCTGCTTCTCCCGCTGTACCTCCCCCCTGCTCGTGCTCTCTCTCTCTCCCTCAAATGAATAGATAGAATATTTAAAAAAGTAAATAAAATAAAAATGTGATCTTAATCTATTTTCCCTTATGCCCATATAGGACACCTCTGCATTCCCTGTGTCTTTTCATTATGTAAGTTTTTTTCCCCTCCTTAATGTGTTTAGATTACATTTTTGAAATTTCTCGTGGCAGAGGCAGCAGACTCCTTTGCATGTTGCTGCTGATCTTGGCAATGTGGAACTGGTGGAAACCTTGCTGAAGGCAGGCTGTGACCTGAAGATTGTTGATAAGGTAAGTGCATGGCCTTCACTGTGTTCAACAGAGATGGTTGTGAAGAACTTCCTGTTGGCTGTAAGCCTTAGCATACCCCTTGTGGGAGATGGACACACATTGGAGAAACCTTTTGTCCTGGCAATCAGTAAAACATCCTGATTTCGATTGAGGTATGTAGGTAAGATATTTTACTCTGAATAATAAAATATGTATTTCTTAAAAATTAAAATTATTTATTAATTTGGGAAAGATGATAGATTCATGTGGTCCAAAAATTAAAAAACATAATCAGTAAAGGTTTTACAATAAAAATGTCCCACCCACTCCTGACCCTAGTTGTCTGGTTCCCACACTACTCTTGCCACACGGATCTATTGTCATCAGTTTCTTAGTTCTTTCCAGTTTCTTTATGCATAAACAAGCAAACATAAATATATTATACTCTTACCATATCCTCCATCCTTTTTACATTGTGGTGATGTACTTCTCCATATTGTCCTGCATTTAGCTTTTCTCCTTTAAGTATATAAAGTGGAAACTTCCATATTAGTACAAGGAGAGTTTCTTCATTCTTCTTTATATAGCTGCACAATAGACTGTGGCATGGACATATCATAATTTGTTTAGTTCCCAGCCGATGGGCATTTGAATTGTTCCTAAGCTTTTGCTGTTATAAAAAGAGCTGCAATGAACAAACATACACATGTCTAAACTTGCTCTTACTTAAAAATTCTTTAATTGTAAAATCAATATAACATAAAATTTATCATCTTAACCATTTTTTTTAAAGATTTTATTTATTTATTTGTCAGAGAGAGACAGAGCACAAGCAGGGAGAGAGGCAGACAGAGGGAGAAGCAGGCTCCCCGCCGAGCAAGGAGCCCAATATTGGGACTCGATCCCAGGACCCCAACCATGACCCGAGCCAAAGGCAGATGCCTAACCAACTGAGCCACCCAGGCGTCCCTCATCTTAACCATTTTTAAGTGTACAGTTCAGTAATGTTAAGTCTGTTAGCACTGTTAGGCAACCAATCTCCAGAACCTTTTCCTCTTGGCAAACTGAAACTCTGAAGAGCAACTACCCATTTCCTCCTCCTTTCCCAGTCCCTGGCAACCACCACTTTATTTTCTGTTTCCACGAATTTGACTATTCTGGGTACCTCGTATAAATAGAATCATACTGTGTTTGTCATTTTGTGACTGGCTTATTTCATGTAGCATAATGTCCTCAAGGTTTATCCGTGTTGTAGTGTGTGTCAGAATATCCTTCCTTTTTAAGGACGAATGATATTCCACTGTGTATAGACCACATTTTGTTTATCCTTGCATCTGTGGACAGACGTTGGGTTGCTTCCACCTTTTGGGCATTGTGTAGACTTGTTTTTAAAGAAAGACAACTTTGTTTTTTTTAAGTGATGCAGTAAGGTGGGCTCCATCACAGGAGGGTTGCGGGGCCATCGTCCGCTAGGTTCCAGCTTACTGAAAAGCGTAAACACAGGAGACCAAGGTATGGCAGTCCTGTCAGGTGCTCACCCACGTGCACCTTATTTCATTCCTCACATCTGTTCTGTGGGGTGGGCAAAATTATCCCAGTTTCCAAGAGATTTCAATGATATCAAGGGTCACACGCACAGTAAGACGCAAAGCCAGGCTTCAAAGCCAAGGCTGCTTGTTGGTTGTCCAGCGCTTTACCACAGCTGTGAGCAGAGCTAACTATTTCTACAACTTGCAGTTTTTCCCTTTCTTGTCTTCACCCACAGTCTTCATCAGCTCAGCACATCCTTAATTCCTAGTGCAAGCAAGGTTCACCCTCCATACTCTTTCAGAATCTCACATTTTACATTTGTGGGACTTGAAGGATTGATGTGTTATTTTACTTTTCTCTAGAGGTCAGTTTTTTAAGTTATCATAAAAAGTAGTACAAGCCCACTGTGGACAATCTGGAAAACACAGAGAAGCATAAGGAAGGAAAACGCAACCACCCATAACTCTGTCACATGGGTGGAATTACACCACTTCCGCCATTGTGGCTTGTTACTGGCCCTTAACATTTGGCGTTAGTATTAACAGTTCACATTCATATTTTCCCATGCTTTCTCTTCCTACTTGATTCCACTTTCTCATTAATACTTAACCCCTCTGGGGCAGTCTTGTAGGTGAAGAGCCTGTAGCATTGGGAAGGGAATTCATGCTGGGCCCCCAGTGCTAGTGGACTGGATGTCCTGGCAAATGCCGTCAGTGCTGTAACTTGACTCACAATTTGATTTTCCCATTTTTCCCTTCTCCTCCCTTTCTTCTCTGGGCCTGGCACATGATTGGCCCCCAACACCTAATTAGTTAAGTAATAAAAACTACCTTTTCTACTCACTCCCACCATTTTTACCAAGGATAAATGGCTGTAAGAGTGAATCAGAGTGGGCTGGGAAAAAGGAGCCAGGGTTTGGTGTGAATATGACTTTCCCAGAAACTTGTTCTCTCGGTCGGAGGTGTCACCAAGCTCCTGGAGGGCTTCCCCCCATCAGCGGCAGGATTATTTGGGTTTCCACTCCATGGCACACTCCCTGGGAAGGTTTTCCTAGGAACTTGAGAACACTGGCTGAAGCTGAATGCTGCTAATCACGGTTACACAGATGGCTTCCTAAGCCAGAATTCAGGCTGTCTGCAATGAAGGACTTGCTAACTGCCTGCAGAGCACAGTTCTTCCTAATTCATTACTGTCTCTTTTGACTAGAAACTGGTAACTGTCAGCCCTAACCTTCTGGCCCACCTGGGTCTTAGCACCTCCACTAACAGCCAGATCATTTGGGTTGGTGGGAGTTGTACTTGCTCAGCCATGTGAGAGAATTACTGGGATAAATTGCTAGATCCCTAAGCATAGGGACATGGGTTGCTAAGAACTTTTTGTGGGATTATTTCTGACATTCATTTTTGATTACCTTCAGGATCCCTGAGCAAATTTTTAACGTGCCATTTAAAAAATAGATGAAAAACACCGTCTTTTGCTCAGGAAAAGAAATGTATAGATGTGCAGATTGTACACTGCCTAAAATCTAGGGCACATTACTTGTAAAACTGTGTGCTGTAGCTTTGAGCTATATCGATCTTGACAAAGGTGCACCTTTTGTAATTTGTATAAGATACCAGATGGGATCCCAGGCCACTTATGCCCAAAATTATGTCCAGAATATCCTTTATTGCTCATTCCGTTTGGTTAAGTTTCCTATTCCTCACCCTTGGTTAGAGGCAGTATAATAGAAAAAAAATTCTAGGTAGGAGTCTAGTGAGCTGAATTCTGTACTATGAATTAGAAGTGTTGTCATGGATATTACTATTCTCAATGAGAACCAGCATCTTCTGTCTTATTATCTACTCTCCACAACACATGGCTGCAACTTCTTTGTCTAAGATGGCTGTTGAAGCTCCTGCCATCATGCTAGCATTCCACTCAGGAGGAGGAGGAAAGGAAGGAGAATAACATCCTTCCTGTCTTTAAAATTACTTCCCAGAAATTGCATGTGCCACTTCCATTTATATACCAAAACTTAGGTCACATATCTAAGTGCAAGGGAGGCTAGGAAATGTTTGGAGTGGCCAAGTGCCTAGCTAAAATCGGGAGGTCTTTTCCCATAGAAGAAGGAAAAGGCTATTGGGGGAAGGAAGTATGGCACACTGACTAAAGTCTCAGCTACAGGTAGAGTCAGCCCTGAGTAGAAAAATGTGTGATCATATTATTTATTTGCCGAGGACTCCCCAGTGCAGTGAGCCAGGGAGACCCCCGCCCAGGGGTCTTGGAGAAATGTTTGGATTCTCACTGATAGAGCATGTGTAAAATATCATCTGTTGATGGTCAGTTCCTAAGCCCAAATCTTTTCCCCTGCCCTGTTGACACAGCACCTGACACTACCAATACCTAGCACCTCTTGAATAATTACCATGTGCCATGCACAGTCCTACAGGCTTGATATGAATGATCACATTTACACCTCACCACTACACCATGGGGTAGTCTTTGAGACCTAGAGGAGCTAAGGACTGGCCCAAGTTCCCAAGTGCAAGGAAGCAGTAGGGATCAGGATTTGAATGCAGGTCCCCCCGTTCCAAAACTGGAGCTCCTGAACACTAGGCCATACTGCCTGACACTTTCATTTTTACCTTTTAGCAAGAGAAGACTGCCATGGCCGTGGCCTCCAGGAGCAACCACAGCCTTGTTGTGGACATGATCATTAAAGCAGAGAGATACTATGCCTGGAAAGAGGTAAAGAAGCATGGTTCCAGTTCAGCAGTGAGCTCTTCTGCAACCACCATCTTCTTACGGGCAGTGTGGGGTTTGTGTAGTTCTTTTTTCTGCTCTAATGGGCAGGGTCCTGGTCAAATTATAACTGTCCTTTTGGCCTGTGCTGCTCCATTCATGGAACGAACAGCTGCTGCTTCCTCCCTCCGTCTCCTTTGCCAGCTTCAGGAGTCAGAACTGAGGTGTGTAGAGCTCATTGGGCTAAACAGGCTGGCCCGTGTTGGCTCTAACTGGCCCTGCATAGCTGGCTCCCAGGTTGTGCCGTCTGTCATGGAGTCTGGCTCTGGTACCTTCTGGAAGTTCTCAAACCCAAAGTTCTCATCATTCTTTTTTTTTTTATGTTATGTTCATCACCATACATTACATCAACAGTTCTTGATGTAGTGTTCCATGACTCATTGTTTGCGTATAACACCCAGTGCTCCACGCAGAACGTGCCCTCCTTAATACCCATCACCGGGCTAACCCATCCCCCCACCCCCCTCCCCTCTAGGACAAACCAAAGTTCGCATCATTCTAATGAGTGATAAAGAAGTTTATGTTCATGGCTTTGCTGTTTTCAACACACCGTTGTGCTGGCTGCTACTCAAGTATCCTGTGATAGTCACAAAAACCTTATTCATCTTGAGAACACAGAAAACTTGCCAAGACATTCTCTCTGCCTTCTTTCATCATTACTTCCTCTGATAGCTGCCATGCATACAGCTTCACAACAGAATGCCCTTCCCTCCAACATCGAAATCTAAGCCCTCAGGCAGGATTTGCATTACTGGGCACCACACTCAGTTTCTACTTTGGGTTGTTGCCATCCTAGGCTGAATGGCCCCCCTAGTCCAGTAGGTTGGTGCCAGAATTCAGGTCCTAACCCTCAGGTGTTTACCCCTGAGGAGCCTCAGGCCTGGTTTGTGGTCTCATTTGCCAATCCTGAGAAATTTCCCTTAAATCCTTTAAGGCAAAATGCATTGATTTGCCTCCTTCTTGCTCACAATCCTATTTAATTGGCTCTGCAGTCCTGATATATATATATCTGGATGATATGACATATATGTCATTTGAAGTCCATACCATCCTCCTCAAACGTTTCTTGTCTGTAAAACAAAACAACATTTTTATGACCATTAAAGTTCTCTCTCCTCCTCCTAGTTGATTTTTGTTCCTCCTGCTCCTTCATTCTCTTCTTCTTGGCCTTAGCTTCATTCTCATTTTCTTAGATCATCACCGTATTTGATTGAAGGTAACCTCCCCAACTTCCACATTTTCTCTTGCTTTTTAAGTGACTGTTTTCACGTTTTCTTTGAAAATAGAAATATTCATTGGTTCTATTTTTAACGTCTGCTAGCATTTTTAGATTCTTTTTCCTAGAGGAGAATAAATTACTTTTCCACCAAATGAATAAGCCCCTTTTCCTAACAAATCTTTGAGATGTGAGAGTTAGATGAACTTTGGGAATCCTATACAATATATAAATGTATGAAGGAGACCCTCAGAAATGAGAGTTGTTATCCTTGGTGACCACTGGGGACCGACATCTGGAGTGGGAGGAAAGCTTGTTTTTTAATATATATTCTTAAATGTTTTTAACCAAGTATATTTATTACTTATTTTATTTCAAAGATTTATTCATTTATTTTAGAGAGAGAGCATGCAGAGGGTAGGGGCAGAGGGATAGGAAGAGAGAAACTCAGCCAACTCTGAGCTGAGGGCAACTCAATCCCAGAACCCTGAGATCACCACCTGAGTTGAAACCAAGAGTTGGCCGCTTAACCGACTGTGCCACCCAGGCGCCCCTATTTATTACTTACTTTAAGTTCACTTTGTTCATTAAACAATTATATCTTTTTTTTAACCAAATGCATTTATTATGATTTCAAATTCTCTTTATTTAACAAATTTATATCCTGGCCTAATATAAAATGATTCCTAATAAAGAACATTAAAGAGAGGATTGAAATTTCCTCTCTTATATCCATCATTAAATCCAGTGGTTCAGAGGCAAATGGGAAGCTTCCTAAAATCTGGCTTATGCTATTTTAATTTCCACCAGTTTTGGCATATGATAAGTTCTTTGGCAGACAAACTATTAATGCTTCTCTGAACTGCTGAAAAAGACCTGGGCTTTCCAAATCCATGACCCTTTCCTCTGGAAGCCTGAAGGACCACCCAGCCCAATCCTGGAATGCAGAGCATGTGTGTTTCTCAAAGAAATAAAAATGCTGTGGTGCAAAGGTTAATGCATTTTGCAGTTCTTCCCTCTATCTTGTGGTGTTTCAGGTTTTGTTCTTGTTGGAATCCTCATTGTTTCAGGAGAGGGAACGAAGAGAAAAGGAAAAAGTGAAGTGGCCACGGCTCCCAAGTTTGTGGGATCCCTCACCCTCAGCCTTTCCTCTTTCAGGACTCCCTGGGAGTTAGGCACTGCGGGAGTAAAGCTAAGGTTGGGACAGGGTAGACCCTGCCTGCCTTTTACAACCTCTGAAACAATTACGGGTAATTTATATCTCCCATTCCTAGTCCAACTTCTTTTCACAAGGTCCAGATACTAGAGAAAATACTGGCCCGTCTCCTTGGGCATGCTTCCCAGGATGTTGGAGACCTTCCGAGGAGACTGCAGATGCTATGAAAGACAAAGACTGCTCTGTGATGGGGGCGGAGGTGCAAGCCCCACCACGTTCTTCTCAGGTTTTGGCAACCAGGTGCCCGTATCATGTTAGTCCACTTCCTGCCCCAGCATGGACTCCTGTCTTGCTGTTCAGATTATCTTTCATTAAGATTCATTTTTAATTAAGTGAAAGACAAAAATAGGAGTTGCCATATATGAAAAAGGAGAGTAGATAGTAAGTCCCAATCTTCTTGGGCTGTGTGTCCTGTGTGTCCTTAACTGATCTGCAGCCTCCCGAAGGACGGTGATCTGGAGGCCTGACAGCACGTACAGCAGGTGCAGCTCTAGGAAACCATGACACCTGCTTTCACTTTGAGATTTTTCTCCAGTTTCTTTGGCTGCATTCTGCAGAAGGGGCAAAAGGAACCTTGGGAAACTGAGAAAACAAGATTATCAGTCCAGGCACAAGGCATTTGGACTAAGCCTGGCTGCAGTGACTTAAAACAAAATTCTATCGACCCCTGTCCTCTCCATTCTTTCGGTCCCCAGAGTTAGGCTTCTACTTTGCTCTCCTCACACCAGAGAGCAGGATGAGTGGAGGCATCAGCTTTGGGGTCTTTCTAAGAGTATATCCAATCTGGGCCTCTCTGAATCTTTTTTTTTTTTTTTTTAAAGATTTTATTTATTTATTTGAGAGAGAGAGAGACACAGCGAGAGAGGGAACACAAGCAGGGGGAGTGGGAGAGGGAGAAGCAGGCTTCCCGCGGAGCAGGGAGCCCGACGCAGGGCTCGATCCCAGGACCCTGGGATCATGACCCGAGCCGAAGGCAGACGCTCAACGACTGAGCCATCCAGGCGCCCCTCTGAATCTCTGATATGAGAAAATCAAACACACACAAGAAGAACAGGGGATATTGGCTGCAAGTAAGGACTTCAAAGATGAATTTATTGTTGTGACATTTCCTTAGCTAAGGCACCCCCTCTGTCTTCTGTTGGGTGAGTAAATAAACATCAGCAAGCTGGGATAGAAGCATACGACATGGCAAACCCCCTCACATTTCCTTTGTCAGACAGATAGTACTCAAGCTTTTCATTTCAGACATCTGTCTCCATCCTGAGTGACGGAAAGTGATCCAGGTACAGATAATACTGAAAACGTAAGTCTTGGGGACCATCGTACCTGGTACATCTGGACAACTGTGTACATACCATGAAATAAGGCGATAAGCAGAAAATGTCTGGAATCGTCTAACGTAGTTACCTTTAATTTAGGAGCATGGTGAGAGCATCAGGGACCCATCAACCAGCTTTACTTTGACATTCAAGCAAGATCACAGTTTGGAGACCAGACATATTTGCAGTCTTCTCTGGAACCTGGCTTACCATCAGCTAAAGGCCAATGAGTGGCAGAAGCTGGCCCATTCATAGAACTTTACAGATGACCAGATCAGAGCCATTGAGGAGCAGTGGTCAGGTGAGCGTGGCCTAGATAATGCAGACAGGAAGGAGCAGCAGTTCTTCCTGGTGGCAGATCTTCCAAGTAAGTGGTTGGTGCTCACAACAAGCAGACTACAAGGGCCCAGGAATTGGGACAGTTAGCTTAGGACCACAAAGATGATTGAGAACTTTGCAAACCATGAACATTCATGGACTCCGCAATAAACTGAAGTTTGCAAAGGATAATTACTTTTTATTGAGCCATACTGAAAAGTTGGCATTTACCCTTTTAAGGAAATGAAGGTTCCCAACTGAATAGGCACTAAGGAAGCAAGGACTTAACAGTTGGCTTGTCCCTGGGAAACCAACCTCTCGTAGTGTTCCTTGAGATTGTCTTGGGGTGAAAAGGTTCATTCTCTAACAAAAGGCTCACTGTTTAGGGCTTCTACTCCAGGAGGAATCCAAGCCACATCTGGGTATAGAGTTCTTGGGTGAGACCAGCTGTCCCATGAGAAATGTGGGAGACAGACTCAGGGCTCTCCCGAGTAGAAGATCCCAAGCCATGGAATCAATTCAGCCAGACTCCAGCTGTCAAAATTAGTGAGGTCAGGTCAGCTGGAGTCATTAGCTTTGCTTTTTTATGATTTGACCAAAACTTAGGAAATAAAGTGTGTTTGGCATTAATCAGCTAATTAGCTTTAAAAACAAGGAAGCAGACACTTTTCTTGGCAAAACATTCTATTCAGAGCACTTTCCTTACACGGATATTATGAGATGTGAACAAGTCCCATGCTCAGGGGTTAATTTGCGTTACTGATTGCTGGGACTGTAGATGGCAAAACCACAGCCCATGAATACGTGCTATTTACATCAAATAAAAGTAAATCATGGCACTTTCTATTGCTAATTCTATGGCTACATTATGGAAGATAATGCATTGAAAATGTTGAATATTGACTATAGTTTCTGAAAAGATTTCTTTTTTACTGTTAAGCTTTCTCCTTTGTCAGTAATTAGGCATATGACATTCTGTGAAGTTTTTAGGAAAATTTAGTTGCCTTCTGGAAATCTCTCCTGACCTAAAGAAATGATCTGAAAATATACTGTATCTTCAGAGTAACTGCCAGCAGGATAAAGGGGATTTAAAGTGTTTTAGTCAAACAATGTGGAATGTCTAGAATGCGTTTAGCTCTACCAGGTGAGGGATGCAACCGCTCTATAAGCCAAGGTGCACATTTGGTGGAATTTATAATCTAGTTGGCATGGTAACAGCAACATTCACAATCCAAATACAATCCAGCGTAATGGTACTGGCACTAAGGAGTTTGTGGGCTTTTAAGCAAAGGAGAGATGCGTTGATGGTGGTACTGAAGAATTAGTTTGGCAGGGCAAGATCAGGAAAGGAACGGGATTCACCTAGGAGTATGTTCTTTATGGGTACAGTTCCCTTTCCCTGAAACACCTACTTCTTTAACAGTCTATCAAGCAAGCTTCCTCCCCAGAGCGTAGGCCCTCCTTTTGTGGTATCTGCCTGTTCCCACACACACTGGCTAGAACTAGGAGCCTGTTTTGTGTTTTTAACTGTGAACTCCTGTTGCGAGAGACACATCTCAGCACTTCCCTCCAACATCTCTCAGGGGTTAGGTATCCAGTGAATAATCCTGGCCCAGGGGATGCATACTTCCATCAGAAGCTGGAGTAGCATGATGGTACACGTTTGCTGCTCATGTGGTTAACAGACAGCAACACCAGCATCTGGGTGCTCATTTGAAGTGCAGATCCTAGCCCCAGGCAGACTGCATGAGACTCGCCATTGTAACAGGATCCCCCATTGAAATATGCACTTTGAGTGTGAGAAATGGTGGTGCATAGCAGTGCCAAATGAACGTTGAAGGAGAGCTCTGCATCTCAGATTGTTCCTTACCGTTGGGCAGGGACTCAGCTGCTTCATGTCTTATCTGCTCTTTTGGTGTGTCAAGCACAGTAGGTGCAAGGTAAGTGCTGGAGGGAATCCAAACTCTGGTCACCCTAAAGAAGTTCCAGTGAGGGGAACTGGAAGGGCTTTCATCCACTGGGCTTTTTATATAACAGCCATCAGAAGAGGAATGAGTTACAACCACAGTCATACAGAAAATTCAGTGAGAACTAAGATCACAATAAAAAGAGACATCAGCATGTGGGGTTTTGCCTCTGACTGTATGTACGTGGCACAGGAAAGGGAAGTTTCCGTGAACATGGCCACAAGGCTCTGCTCATCAGGCTGCATGGGACCCTGATGTGACACAGGCCACTCCGGTCAAGCATCTGTATGAAGAGCTGGTACGCGCAGGTTTCCCAGAACTATCTGGTGAGTTAGTTTTCAAGACAGAAGCTCCTTCTCCCTTAAAATGGTGGGGGGACAGTCAGCAGAAACAATACTGTCCGTTAACAGCGGCAATCCCAGTCTGATGAGCACGGTGGCTCATAAAGAATAAGCAGCTCCTCTGGTGAGTTGATACTCAGTCGATACTGATCCCACGTTAGCCGGGCAGTTCTCTGTGTCACCCCCCTACTGGGCATTTGAAAAAGTGGAGGAGGATTTCTGTTGATGTGTATGTGTGGCAGGGTGTGGAGGTGTGTGTGGGGTGTGGGGAGCAGGAGAGGGCAGGAATTAAGGTTAGAGACAGTTTCCACAACTAAGCATGGTCTTGCTCAAAAGGCCATTTTGCCCCTGTTGAGGAAATCTGCAAGTTAGTGTATTCGAAAATGTTATCTGTACGTTAAAAGAGCAGACAGGCTTTTACTTGGGCAGCTGAGGTTACTGCTGAAAATCACTTGCCCCAAAGACTGTACTGTCAGGGAAGATGCTTTCAAAACTGATCGATAAATTAGGGGGTGCTATAACTCTTATGCAATAATAACTATTCAAGCAAAATATAGGCACACCTGCCATTATTTTCACCGATGCAGTTTTACCCGAAGCCGAGCATAAATGCCTGAATCACACCACTGATCCAATACTCAGTTTCAAAGGATCGTGCATGGATAACGGCTCCTCCCGTGACATTATCTTCGTAGCACTGGGATTGTTCCCTCAACTTTAAATTTGTTCCTGTACGAATTCTCAGGGGAGAGTAAGAGGCAGTCCCCTGAAGTGGTGCAGGGATGTGCTCGGGAGCAAGGCAGTGTGGGCCCGTCCCTGACCTCTAGGGCTGATGGCAGTGTGATCTTGAGCAAGTTCTCCAACCTCACTGTGCCAGTGTTCTCCTTTACTAACTAGAAAATTGTCTGTCGAAGGTTGTTGTGGGATTAAGTGAGTCATAGTGCCTGCCACATAGCAAGTGCTTAATAAATATTAGCTGTTAATAATAAATGTTATCCTTTTTCCAGAAAAGATCCGTCAATTCAAAAATGAAACTAACTCAAAGTCCAAGAAATGTGCAGTTTCATAAATGCCTAAAGAAATTGTATTTAATTGATATTCCACTCAGCACCATCCTTTAAATTCAGTTCTTTAATGCCATAAAATTCTAGCAGTAGTATTGATTTTCCTTTCAGCTGTGACAGTGGTGATGACAAGAAGCTCTACCGGATGAAAAAATGGTATTAGTACTTTCCAACTACTGAAATGAAAGGTCAGAAGTTTTTTTTTTACTTTTACTTAAAGCAAATTGTATATGATTTTTGCATTTCTGCCATTTGATACAACATATGTGATAGCATAATCTAGGTTTTGCACACCACTTTTTTTTTTTTTAATGTTGGTAGGAGCAGCATCCTGGTATATGAAAAAACCAAGGGATTTAGAATAGACAGACATGGTTTTAATTAGGGTTTGCCACTTCTTAACTGTGAGCCTTTGGGCATACTAATACTCAAGTTCTCAGATCTTCAGTTGCCTTCTTTATAAAATGGGGGAGTGTCTCTCTCTTCCACAGCATTGGAGATGAAGGTTGAATGCCTGTTAAATGTCTAATCTCATGCTCACAGTATTGAAATCATCCACTGTTCGTTATTTCTCTTCAGTGAGAAGAAATAGTTTTGGAAATTTACAGTTACTGTTGGCTTTAAATAACACACATGTGTAGTATATTGCTTAGAAAAGACCAGAAGTGATTACACCAATGTTTGTTGTTTTTTTAATCTCTTGGTGATGTAATTACAGGTGATTTTCATTTTCTTTGTACTTTTTGGTACTTTCCAGGTTTTTTTGACAGTCAGCATGTAGTATTTTTATAATCTGAGAAAGTTATGAAATAAATATGAAATCAAGTATCAACTCGTATCAGTTTATGTGCACCTGTTCATTATAATTTAAGGCTCTCCATTCTCAAATTCTGACGCTTAATTCTTCAAGGCCAGAGATAAAATCATGAGCAGTATCAGTATAGTTATTCTATCATGAATTTATAGTTTTACATCTTTGTCTCATGCTGATTGTAAATGGCCCACTTACGTTTATGTTTAAAATAGGTAGTTATGTTCACACAGGCAAAAAGTTTTAAGAGAAAGGTATTCAGTGAAAAGTCTTGTCCCCATCTGTTTTTTTTTTTTTTTTTAAAGATTTTATTTATCTGACAGTGAGAGACACAGCGAGAGAGGGAACACAAGCAGGGGGAGTGGGAGAGGGAGAAGCAGGCTTCCCGCCGAGCAGGGAGCCCGATGCGGGGCTCGATCCCAGGACCCTGGGATCATGACCTGAGCCGAAGGCAGATGCCTAACAACTGAGCCACCCAGGCACACCCCCCCCGCCCCGATCTGTTCTTCAGTATGCCTGGTTTCCACTGACCATGCTACTTACTCCCTCTTCCAAAATCTGAGTAACCTCTTAACCCAAAAGTAAACAAATAGAATACACACTTACTGTATAAGTGTTTTAATTGTGGTGTTTATGTTAAATTAGGCTAACACTAATTATTTGATTCTGCTTTGAACAATATACAATTTCTAGAGCTTAAAGTTTAAAAAGATGCTTATGATATTCTTAATTTCAATATTCATAATATTCCCTTTCGTTTGCCCATATGGTTATGGCTTGGATACTGAAAACCATTCCTAATTGTCATCTAGGTTCTTCAAAAAGCAGAGCTTGAGACCAAAGTCTACGAGTAGCTGTTTCTTAGGAGTGTAAATCCAAGGAAGCAAGAGGGAAAAAGGGAGTGAGATGAGAAAGGAGGGAGAGCCCAGACCAGGGTGAAATACCAAATTGGCCACCACTTGGTATGAAGCATAACTGATCATCTGACTTCCAGGGTACTCTGAGAGATGGGATGGACTAGTACACCTCAGTGCAGTTCATACAGGGGAGAAAGGAAGAATTGATCTGTTACCACAATGGGGTGTTAATTCCGGGCTGCATATGAGTAGGCTCCAAATGGAGCCTGTGGTCTGTTGTGCTTCACTCAGAGTGCATGGTGAAGTCCTAGAGAAGAGCGTGGCCGAGGTATGGGTAGCACAAGAGGTGCTGTTGGTTTGTGTTTGTTGAAACCCCTGAGGAGCTGTTTGCCACAGTGGTAGCTGGGCCAGAATTCAGAACAGTGCTGCATAAGAAGGGTCTAATACTCTGATTCTTTAGTTCAGAAAAGTACAGAGAAGCCTTGGTGTGCCCTTTAGAAAACAGGATATTTGCCTATCTCCCATTTATTCTCATGTTCTATTACAACGTGAGGCAGTAAGAGAAACTATTTCCTATAATAAAGTTAGAGCATAGAACTAGATCATGTTCAAAATAAAAGAGGCTTCTAAGTAAGTCCATCCAATTCTGTCAAAGATACGAAAATTGAGGCTCTGGACAGATTCTTTAGAATGGACTTGTTTTTATGTAACCCAAAGTACTTCGTGAAATAGGAGGGGTAGGTCCAGCTCACTGTTTCACAGATGTAATCCTAAGATTCACGAAATTAAATGTCTGGCCCAAGATAACCCAGTCAGCCAGCAATAAAACCATTAGAAGCCTGGTCTTGATTTCCTCAACCACTTTTACCCAGACAGTTTCTTCCACTGAAAAGTCTCTGCCCAGGCCTAGAAGGTTTGCTGAGTTGCCCAGTGCTATACCTTCCCCCACAGGGCGATGTTTAGATGTTCAGAGAGAAAAAGGGTTCAATGCCGTACAGTTTCAGAAGGGCAAGAAAGAACATCAGAAATAGGATCTATATGTTGGCTAACTGAACATAAAATAAATAAATAAATAAACAAACAAACAAACAAACTACAAAAAAAAAAAAGAAACAGGATCATTCCAAGAGGAAATTTTTTTTGATGTTTGTGTCTCTCTTTTTGTGCTAGTAAAAATAAATCTTTCCCTTTTAACATTAAAATTATTCACAGGTCTCACCAATTCCCATTTTTAATTGTAATAGTCTGAGGAAAATGAAGACTAATACACTACCATCACAAAAACTTTGTATTAAAGTATCATTACTTTTTTTAAATTTTAAAATAAAAATACCTTAATTTTTCTATTAGTTTTAATATTTTTAGTAAAGTTCTCAAAGTTTACTCAGTAACACTGGAAATGATTTAGCCTTTTGGAAATAACGTTGAGAAAACAGAATTTATAAACTCTTATGGTGTAATCAGTGACAGGCTGAACCTATTAAAAAATTAAGTCATTTTTTAATTTAAAAAAGTTTTACTTAATTGCTTAAATTAAAAAAAATAACATTAAAATAATCCTACATATAGTTACAAAGGATGGTATGGCTTGAAAAAGTCTCTTGTAATTTTGAAAAGATGAACATGATATATCTATGATGTTCTGAGAATATGAAATTTTAACAACTAGAGACTTCTAATTCTTGGTAAAACCAGAAGAATTAAAAGATCTCAATATGTGCATATTCATTTTAGTCAACCACTTTTATGGAATGAATGCTTGTGAGAGACTGGGTGTGAGTTGACCTGGTTCCAAGGGATCTAGAAGCTGAGGTACTTTCAGGATGAATCGTCCGGGGATATTTTGCTGCAGCAGCTTGAGGAATGGTTTGCTGAAAAGGTAAAAATATGCTTTAACAATCCCATAAAATTACACCTATTAAATACCATTTCATTATATGTAATTTAACCAAACTAGTATCTGTTAAGCATCCAGTAGATACATGCAGTAAGCTGGTGAAGCAGCCATTAAAACAAATAAGATGTGGTCCTTAATCCGTAAGTTAGACTGATGTGCTCAATACCCACAATTCAGTATCAGAGCTATATTCCAGGGGATCACAAAAAAAGCCATGGAAGTCATTCCTCAAAGAGGACTCCAGTGGAATCTTGTAATGTTTACAGAGGCCAACTACATAAATGGACTTTATGGTGTTTGGGAGAAGGGTCAGCCCCAAGCCCTCCCTCCCTTCACTCCAATCAATTTTCTCCTCCCTATATCTGTTAACAAATGGAGTTCAATCTCAGGGAACATGGGAAAGCTCTGAGGAATCCTGCCTGGTCCTTGCTTCAAACCGAGTAAAGCACATCTCTCGTATTTCAACCTGGTTCACCTGGGAGCTGACTAAACCTTTTATGATTATACAAGAGGAGATATTTCCAGAAGCCTGGTGCTCCTTATTGTGGATTACAACTTTCTATACAAATAATTAGACGCTGAGGACAAATCTCAAGAGGAGGATGCCCATACCATCTCAGAGCTCAGGGGAACATCTTGGACCCAGGCACCAAAGCATTAGTCAGTGCGCAACCGACTTCACTTCATCTATACAAGTAGATATTACATGCATTCGTATGTGTAAAATGTACAAGTACAAGGATTTCCTTTATTATACTGGATACAGCTTCTCAGTAGGCAGAAGTGGGACCTGTTATCCAGGTCTCAGTCCACGTCACTGAGTAGTACATGTACATTCCTAGTTGGGTCGTTCACTTAGAAAAGTCATCTTTAAAATACTTGAAGTAGAATTATATATATTTGATCAAAACATTCACTGGATATTTTAAAAACCCTTTACTTAAAAAAAATAATGAAAACTCTTACAACAAAGGTCTTCATGACAGATCCTGCTTTAAGAGTTCCTCTTTAAGGAAATGGAAAAATAATTTCCTGTCTTAAAACTATTTTATATAAATGTTTCATTGTACAGAGATAAATGGATAACCATTACAGATGGAGGAGATTCTTCCAACTACTATGAAAATTTAGTTGCTAACAACCTAATCTGACCCTGTTAAAAGAGCTATTTCTCCTTGGGGAGGATGGGCAAGAGGAAATGCAGAAACAGATTCACCGTACCATTGGTTTCATGATCTCCAGAAATATGGCAGAAAATGAAGTAGCACTAGGAACAAGCAATTATCCAGCAGATGGGGCTAAAGTGTCAGAAATCTGACTACTGGTTTATTAGTAACTGTTTCTGGTAGTTACAGGTCTTAATTTTGGGGATAAAATGAAAGTAGTACAGGGGCACCTGGTTGGCTCAGTCGTTAAGCGTCTGCCTTCGGCTCAGGTCATGATCCCAGGGCCCTGGGACGGAGCCCCACATCAGGCTCCCTGCTCGGCGGGAAGCCTGCTTCTCCCTCTCCCACTCCCCCTGCTTGTGTTCCCTCTCTCGCTGTGTCTCTCTCTGTCAAATAAATAAAATCTTTTAAAAAAAGAAAAGTAGTACAGAGGACTGCCACAGTGTCTGTTATATAATCCCACTTAGGTAATCATGAAGCAGTTTCTGGCTGTCTCGTTCACGACCAATTACTAGAGAAGTACGAGAAGTACTATATATACTGAATTAGCAAAGGGCAGCTGGGGAGGTAAATCTCAGAAACAGGGGTTGTAAGTCTTTATTTCCTTGTGTTGTTTTTTTTTTTCCTTTGGAATATGAATTCCTATCATTAGTACAAAAACAAAAGGCTGCCTAAGTTAAAATTAAGCATATATGTGATCTCTTTATGCCTTCTTTATCTTACAAATGGACAGTCCCTCTCCCTCTCTATACACATATGTGCTGATAAAAATAGAAATGAGTTCATTTCTTATTTCTGATACCAAATCTCGCATATTCAAACATGTATTGAGAAGTCACTTAAGGACTTTCTGAGTCTTTGCAACCTCTGAAGGCTGATACTCCTCCACCCTCCATACCCTCCATCTGGACTTGGTGCCTCTGTGTCAGTCTCCACTTCACTGTGGTCATTCTTTACCTGAGGCTAAATTTAAACACTCCAGCTCCTCTTAATCATCTAGCAATCATCTACTGCCAGA